TAAATAAGCACAATGGGCTCACCCATTGCAGAATTCAAACACATCTCACTAACTAATGTCAGCCAATTAATATATGAAATGGTGGTTTATACCTGACCTCTTTGCTTTTTAATTACTGCTATTTAAACTGCCCAAAGGATAGTTTTACATCAGCTCCAATCATGACTGTTCTCTGTTTATTTATTCTACATATAATCTGCATTCTGATAGTGGTGAATATTTTTGTTGCATGTATTTTTGAAGATTACTGATAATTGTATTCTCAAAGCATGATTTCAGGGGGTTTTGGAAGTACACAATCAGGTGTTTAGCATAATCTGCCATGTTACAATTCAATCTCTATTTCATGCAGGAGAGTGGGATCTGAATTTAATCAGATTGCACTGGATTATGACAGGTTGTCAATATCTTGAAAATACATTTCTGCATTTTATCAGGCTTTCAAAGTTTTGTTTGACAAATTTGATTATTTTTGACAAGCCTGAAGAGCACCTCTTGTAGAATACAGGACGATCCTGATCTTAAATTAGAGGGGCCCCAGGTATTGGGCTATAGGACTTTTTGAGCATTGAAGAAGTCATTTAAAAGTAATTCTAGTTTGAGTAATAGCACAGATTGTACAGTGGTATATAAGAACACATATTAAATTTGGTCAAATTCATTTCAACGGTTTTAGCAGAAACTTCTATTTGATGGTGAAGTTGCATTATATGCACAAATTTAAAAGGTCTTCATACCAGATTGTTTTTTGTCTAGTTATTAATGGTTCTCCAGTTCGATAGAGTCATTTAAAAATTTGACTGTTTTCAGTAATGAAATTCATGCTAGAATGTTTTTGTCCTTTTTTGGTAAAATTCTCTAAAGCAATTTTGAAGAAGTTATTTAAAAATTTTGTTAGTTTTTAGTACATGTAATAGCAAAATAATATTTAAGTACTGGTAATGTTTGGCTGTGTTTGAAGTAGGAGTCCTGCTGCAAAGGATGGTTCTGTCAAATTAGATAAAATTCTGTTAGCAGTCTTTCAAGAGAAGTATTTTAAAGGTTTTTTTTTTCTTCTATTTTTAGTAATGTCAACCATAGTTGATGCCAGAAAGAGCGATAACATGACTTTCATGAAGGCTCTTATGGAGGCCATACTGGATATCTGAGTGGCACTATTTTCATTGAAGACCAAATAGACATCATAAAATGTCATTCAGTGAGAAACCCATATTGATACATTTGTGATCATCCATTCAGAAGGAATAGCAAAATCAAGATTTTAAAGATGGCGGACTTGGCAGCCAAAATAAATTTGCAGGCAGCACCACTTTTATTTAAGACCAACTAGAACACATCATATAAAGTCTTCTGATGAAAATCTCATGTTAATACATATATTACTTTTGTTCATCAATTATAACGCATTCAAGATGGCTGCTGTAGCATCCATATGGAAAATTATATCCACACTGTTTTCACTTAAGATCAACAAGACATGTTTGAAGTCATTCAGTGAAAACCTCATGTTGATATGGCCATATGCAAATCAGATCAATACCACTTTCAGTTGGGAGCAGCTAGAAATCATATGAAATCTTCTGGGTAAAACCCTACACATTGTATAGCTAAGGACACACCATTGCTTCATAGACACAAAAACATTTATAGTGCACTAAAATTTTTGTAGGTGGGTCATAAAAGCATGTAAAAATTTTGCTGGCAAGCCAATCAATTTATCACTTTTATTTTCTCTGAATCACTTGATTAGTAATACTTCAATCATAGTAATAGCATTAAACAAATCAAAGCCACTGACAATTCTAAGCTTTTGGGGATTAATATGGAATATAACATATGAATTGGCAGATATATTTCCTAAATGGAGAAAAGAGTTAAGTTCCAAATGTGATATTATCACCAAAGCAATTATAATTTTTTTAATCACCATTATGGCAATATCAATTGTTTGCATAATGATACAATTTAATTGCACTATAAAATATATAATAAAATGTTTTACTTTCAGTTACTTTTCTCTTTGTCTCATCCAGCTGTTTTGCTGTATCACATGTCAATGCATGATGTGCCCCAGCAACTGTATAACTGTACAATTCCCAGAAAGGGGAAGGCATATGTATTCCATAGTGTGAAGATCTAGTGTTGAAGCATCCTGTACTTGAAAACCACTTTGAAAATAAGCCAGAAAGTGAGACAAATACATCTTTAGAGTTACTGTCAGTCTCATTAGTATCACTGGCTAACTCCTCAGAGATTTCATCCTGGGATGAATCACTCAAATCACTGTCAATATCAACTTTTAATGTTTGCACAGTCAACAATTCCTCAATAAATGTTAACAGGTCAATTCCTCTATGACTAATGAGTTTATCTAAATACTTAACCTCAAAAGGTTTAAATTTTTGATCATGCATGTCTTTATCATTTACAGGAATAGATAATTCTACATGTCCAATAGTTACCTGAAAATCTAAGGAAAATTTATCTGTAACAGATAAGTTTGCCTGTGTATCACTCTCTGATTGACAGATCTCATCAGGTAGGTATCTAACAGACTTATATCTGAGACCATCTGTCTGTTTTAATTCTTGTTGTTGCTTCTTTATCAAATTATCTAGTGAAGTGCCTATGCAAAATTTACATGGAATTTTTCTTTCCTGCTTTACATGTTTATGTTTCCTTCCAATGTAATCTTTAAATGTATTTTGGCCAATGAACAATTCACAGTGATTAAGTCCACCTGTTTGCTTGGATTGTGACACCAATTGCTGATGTTTCAATGTAAAGTCATCTTCAGATGTATCTATTTCTGTGTCAGTGTAGCAGACTTTCCCTCTTGTTTCCTTTGATAATGAAGGTACAGATTGTTCTTGTTTTTTTGTAATGTCATCTATTGATGCATCCATGCTAGCACAGGAAGTGAAGAGCATATCAATTCTTGGCTTGAATCCAGGAAATGCATGTAAGGACTGAACAGACTGTTTATGTTTCTTCAGAATGCCCTTCCTTGGTTTATCCATGTTAGAGGGAGATTTGAAAATTTTTCCACTTGTTAACTTTGGTAGAGTAGACACCAACTGTTGACGATTCTTGGCACTATCATTTTCAGATGAATCCATATCCATGACATACTTATTGGGTTTTCCTTTTGTTTTCTGAATAATTTCAGGTTCCTGGTGTTTTTTTGTGATGTCCTCTTTAGACATATTAATATTGATGCTACATTTGAAAGAGTTTGCACTGGCTTGTTTGGATTTTAACGGCAAAGACTGTTCACATTTCTCTGCAATTTCAACTTTAGGAATATGAAAATCTATGAAATATTCATATAGTGCCCCTGTTCTATGACCTAAATGATAGGTCATAGGTTCTTTACACCTTTTTGTAATGTTGTCTTTGAATGTATCCATCTTTTCAACAGATTTACAGGGTTCTTCCTTTGATGGAGAAGGTACCGACTCTTCCTGATTCTTTGTAATATCTTTGGATGCATCAATATCTGGAAAATATTTGTACAGTATTTCACTTATCTGCTTAACGCGAAAAGATATAAAACTTTTTAAACATCTCTTCCTTGTTTCATTGATAGAAGTTCTGTCAATTTCCAAGTAATATTTATCGTGTGTTCTCAAAAAGGCTTTACTTTGGAAATCTGTAGTGATATGGATCCTCTTTCCAATCAAGAGACCTTAGACAGACTTCGTAATTTTCTTTTGGATGTTTATCTAGTATAGGTTTTTAATCTTGATAGAAGCCTCCCATAGCCACTGGATGTCGTTTCCTCAAAAATCAATAAAATTGGCCTCCCTCATGTAGGCAGGCAAATTGATATTCAAAATAAAATCTGTCATGAGATCTCTCTTGCAAACCAAGGCCTTTCCTGAAAACTGAGTATGCAATCCTGACATCCTTGACTCTGCAGGAAACTAGATGCATATGCATCTCAATCTTCCAATTTCCAATTCCATGCCACCTAGCAGTAAAACAGGTTATGGGCAACTAATATGGTCAAAGCCATTTGCATTGCCATTGGCAATAAACTAAAAGTTGTAGTTACTTTGTAATCAATTGTTAAAAGGAAGTACATTTTAAATCTATTCAAGGCTAATAATTTCAGTTCATGGATTACTGTTCTCAAAAGATTAAAAATTAATCATTGCTTTAGTTTATCAGCAGTGTATACTTTTCCAGTTTCCAAGTCATTAATGAGAAAAACCCCAGAAAATTAATAAAATAAATTATATCTGTATTGAGAATACTAAATTAATGATCAATGATTTTGAAAATCTTAGTAGGTTCTATCCTGTTCTTTTAAGTTTTAGCTCCGAGACCAGTTCTTAAGCTCTTTGGACAAAACACAACTCAATTCATTCCATGACCAATATCACATTTTTGGAGTCTCAGAAGTGACACTGATGTAATTTTTAGCAACATCCCCACCTACTTATGATAGAAAATATTTAACAATGTATTACCTCTTAAATTTTTGCATTCTTTAAGAGATGAAATGCTGAGATTTAGTAATACAGTAAAACCTGTCCAGAAATACCAATGCTACAAGTATGAGATCACCAGAGAGCTCACATTCACAGTGCATGGATTTACTGGTTATATAGTTTTGTGATCTGTCATAAGAGACCTCTGCAATAAGACCACCTCTCTTGAGTGTCTTGATTTTAAGTCCACAGATGTAGTGGTAATATAGATATGTATTGCAACATGTCATAAAAGACAACCTCATTTGATAAAGATATTGTGACAGATAGTGCATGTATGATATGGATTTTTAATGTAGCTTTAATTTATTTTTAGTCATACCACTGCAATGTCTGTAGTTTTGCAGTTTATAGTGATGTCTAGCACTGGAGTGGGGAGCATCATGCCACAGACATGTACCATGTCTCACCCAATCACATTATTCTGACACTAGGTTGACCAGACCTAACACTAACCTCTTAATGCTGAGAGTCTGCTAGTACCATTTTTATAAGTCTCTGGTATGACTTGGTCGGGGTTTTTGAACCCATGACCTCCTGCATCCAAGGCAGATGCTCTAACTGTTTAGGCTACCAGAGGTGTCCAGACATCTGCTCAGTTTGATGACTCTTGCAGCCTACAACCTAGACAATACAAGTTTTGCTGAGGTTGAGGTCATATTATCTCTTCAATGGCATATTTATCATTGATAGATGGCATGCAGTACAGTCTGACAGTTAATTTTCCATGAGATACCTTTGACTGTATTTTGTGTGTACTGAAGTTATGTCTCTCTCTCTCTCTCTCTCTCTCTCTCTCTCTCTCTCTCTCTCTCTCTCTCTCTCTCTCTCTCTCTCTCTCTCATGAATTCTGTATGGATCAAAAAGTTTTAGGGCCACAGACTATTTAAACTTACATTTAATGAAATTTACTGGTCAAATTTTTACAGAATATCATTTCATGAAATCTTCCTGCAACCCACCCCCATTTATATTATCCTTTATTTTCTGCATATTTGTCTTTATGCAAGATGTATAAATAGTGAGCTTAACTATTTGCTCATCTTCTCTCAATAGTGATCATATTAGGCATATTGTTTTTACAAGAAAAATAATGATTTAAATGGTTCATTTTATTCAAAATATATATCTAATGCAAAGGAAAAACCCATTTAAAAACATTAAAGTTACAGCACAAAAACTGATTTCTAAGCAGCAGGTGTGTGCATTACATATGGTGGGTAAATTGTCTGAAGACACTTTAAACTGCAATCTGTGATGTTTAGGTAGTAAATAACTGTTAGGAGGCATTGAACTGGAAATGGGCTCATTGCTGATATAATGATGAATGTTAATGCCTCAAAGCAGAAAGACTCCAGTAGCAATAGAAAGGCCAAAACCTCAAACTGGTTAGAAATTATCAATTTTCAGACATAATTATGAAATCAGCCTGTCATACTAACTAATATATATATATATATATATATATATATATATATATATATATATATATATATATATATATATATATATATATATATTTACACACACACTTATATATACACTTCTGGCATTCTGCAGTAATTACAAAAAACTGTAGTATATTACAAAGTCAGTCCTCTTATAAATATATTTGAATAAAAATTGAGCTTACATTGGTAAGAACAGCCAAGAACTACTAGCAGTTTAATGTTGACAGCCTTTATATATAGTTTTGAATACAAAGTTCAAGACAGACAAAGACAGACATTCTATTCACATGCAAGACAGATATAAAAAAAATAGTGAAAGAGACAAAGCTCTTGCAGAGGAAGGAAGTGCAGCTGATTTAGTGTTACTTGCATACTGACTGACAGCATGCATCATCATTGAGATCTGTTACAATATATCTGGTAGTATAAATGTGTTGTAATAAAATGCTCCTTTCAATTGCAAAAATTATTATTTTTGTTTTAAATGGCAATGAATACAGGGCCATGCCAGTGCCATTAGCAAATGCATTACTGTTGTAGTATTAGGACCCCACAAATCTGCTCCTACATTCAGACATTGCATGAGAACAGGTATGATGCCTATTTAGAACTCTAGCTTAATGATGGAATGGCCCTTTATACCAAAATTAACAAATATGGTGCCTGAATATTATATACACAATTCCAAGTGAATCAATTTAGTTTTTGTTGTGGTACATATACCAGATGCATATGTCTGCATGGATATGTTATTGCATGGCTTTTTTTATAATCATTGAAAATTATAAAGTTTTGATATTGTTATGTATAATTAATTTGTACTGTGAGATTTACCTCTGTCCATAACTGAATTTTGGGTTGACCGAGTAAATGTCATTTTTAAAAAAAACATATTTACTTGGATCTGAGTTCAGAACATTGGTTTTCTACTTTGAAATTCCTGGTCTACCTGATGTTTGTCATATTCTATATTAAACTTAAAGAAAATGACCTGACTGGCTATAACTTAAAATGTTCTTAAAATGAACTTTTGACTCTCATCAAGATCCTCTTATTGTGTCTTGGGTTTTTTATATTATGGTTGTTTACATCATTCCTAACTTAACAGAGTAGTGGAATCAGTCTTTTAGTTGTGCTAAATTATAATTTGATAGGGTTTATTGAAATTATTCATTGGAATTACAAAAAGTGCTCACTGACTTTTTAGACTTAATCACTGTTTTCATACATCAAGACTGTTAGCATAGTGGCACATTCCAGACTATTGGCATATCTATCAGTACATTTAAGATTGGAATTTATTAGGAACACCACTGGAATCCAATTGGAACACTTTATATTTTTGATATTTGTCATAAAACATTTAGGAAAACATCTATCTGGGATTTATTTCATAATGCTGTTAAGTTCTTTTTAAATTTTCACTTCATATTCTGCAGAAATAAATTATTTGTTGAATTTACTAAATTTTTTGGCTTTCATTCTTGCTGTTACTAAGTTGAAGACCATAGAGTTGTAACAATATATACTGGAAAACTTCAAACTGGTTTGTTCAGTAGACTGATTATATATGAATAAGCACACATATTTACATTAATATAGTGGTAGTGAGTGGGGTATAGACCAACACATTGGTGGACTTGTGAAGGGTATAACCCACTGGATTGGTTTGATCCAAGGAGACAATTAATGGATCACAGAATTAAACTGCTTTGTATCTGCATACAAACTTACCTAGTGTGCAATTGGAGGGAAGGAGTTGTGTGAAAAATTGGATCCAGTCCTTTTCTCAAGAGGTGACAACTCTACAACTAATACCAATCTGGTGTTTTCCAACCTGTCTAAGTGTCAAGAAGGTGTAACCAAGGAGGTGTTTGATGGGTATGAATAATCAGCTGTAGAACCTATACCTGACCTTGTCTGACTTCTGGGACCTAGGTAGACTGGTCACCTTTGCTGCCAGTGGGATGCTGGCAAAGCTGAATATGTTAGTGTAGGTATGTTTAAATCTTCCAATATGTATTGTATTGAACCAGTGGGTATCCCTGATCAAAGGCAAAATTAAACCATTTTTTCCATCTGTTGTTATTTCAGAACTAATACCAATTGTAGGATTGTTTAAATCTGCCATTATTAACAATTAATGGTGTACATGGGAATGGCAATTTACACCAATTTCCTGGGCAATACTTGTGTTGCTGTACCTTAATCACCAAACCAAACCAAAACCCATTCATTTTAGTCTCAAAATGAGCATGTGGCTGGTATTTTGGTAGGCATGATCAATCAGCTGCAGAACCTATATCTGATTCTGTCTAATCTGTAGGGCCTTAGAGGAACATATTTGTTGCCAAAGGATGCTGGTGATATCAAAGTGTTGACATGTCAGTTCATCTCCCAGGATCTACAATATTAAACTATTAGATTTCCTTCATCTGTGGCCAGATTAAGCACCAAGTCGCTTTTGTGCTCTTATTTCAGAATCAATACTGGTAATGGTCTTGTATAGGTCTGACATTAAATAAATTCCTTTGTATTATACAAAATTTTCAGACAAATGTGAACAAAATCACACCCTGTATTATCTGAGTGTGATATGAGTAACATGTCTCTGATTAAATATAAAGGTGTTTTTTATGTGCCTCTAGTTTATGTTTTCAAATTACAGCTTGTCAACTTACTTCATACTTACTTTATCATAATGTTATTATTTTCTTTTTGCAACCATTAATAAAACTTTTCATCCTAACTTCACTTACAACTTCCTTTTTAAATGCAAACGTCAAATTCCTAACTATATACTGCTGTTGTCTGTAATATTCATTTACAAAGTACTATGACAATGATGTGTATTGAGTCAGGCTTGAATCAAATTGAAAATAATGCACTTGTCAACCATTTTTCTGTGGTCATCTTGATTTGTTTGCAGGCTTTTGACATAAATGAGTTTGAGAATACTGCCATATGGAAGCAGTATGTATTTTTTAGGGTCAGGGTGGTGTGGGTGAGAAAAACTAATTTTAATAATAAAATACTTACCTGTTGCTTTTATATAGCTGGTACATTTTCAGGTAAAAAAATCCAACCATATGACAAGAATTTGTCCTCCCATTAGTGTCATACAGAACATTCCAGAACACTGAATCACCCCTGGGATACCATATAGACATGTTGCCCATGTGTACACCCTTTATTCTTTTCCTAAGGAGCAGCTTAACTTATTGGGGCATCAGTACAAGGCAGAAGGAGTAATTATAGCAATAGAAACAACTGACCATTACATCTTTAACATTAGTTTCATCCCCCCCCCAAATAATTATATTTTAATATCAGTAATACAACCTGTTCATACATGCAAATCTGTATTCCATAACCAAGCATGTGATATGAAAGTAAAAAGTTGTGTGCAACTTGCTTACTATGTATATATATATATATATATATATATATATATATATATATATATATATATATATATATATATATATATATATATATATATATATAATAGCCATATTCACAATACAGGTAATGTGAAGTACAGAATTTATAATAAACAATAAAATGAATCAAGGTGAGTCCGTAGATTGCCATTATGCAAAGATAGGGAAAATTTAACAATATACCTACTCTAAGTAGAACTCCACCCCCTAATTTAAAATCACTAGCATTCTGTGAAGGGGAAAAACAAAAGAAAATGTAAAGCCATACATAAAGTATGTGAAATGTAAAACACTAATAACTCTCAGGAAAGCTTAATTTAACACAAGTATCTTGACCAGGGGTATAATTGACATGCTTACAAAGAATAGTCACAAAATAGACATGGTACAATCTTGGATGTAAACAATGCAAGCATTAAAGCTATGCAACCAAGATAAGAATAAAAGGTGTTAACAAGAGTGACATGTCTATGGAGTTTCCAAGAGGTGAACCAGTATTCTAAATCCTTCTTATAGGAGGACAATTTTTTTCATATGGCTAGGGTATTTTTTGCCTGGAAAGTATCAGCTATGAAGTAGCAACAGGTATGGTATAACAGATATTAAAATGCTATGCATTGAATTCATAAGTTTCTTTTAATGGATAAATACTCACTGAAACTATGCATAAACAGTTTTAAATCTGTTTGA